TTGTCAATTAGCTCCAGCATTGGCACTTGCGAGTCTATTTTCTGAAACCCCAGTTGACTACCAACATCAGAGGGTTTAGGAAGTTACTGAAGCATATGCATCACAGAGGAAGCCTTGCTGAAATCAAAATTTCAAAACAATACAGGAGTCCTTTTTTGTCTGCACATGCGCATTTCCCAATGAGGTCAGTGGAGGCTGGAAGAAGGGATAGGGGAGCAAAGCACCAAGCACACAAAAAATGGAAACACAAAATACAGATTTGTGGAACTTTTATTTGTAATTAGACAAACTAAATGGGATTATGATGTTTATGCATGCAAGTGATTGACTGATCTGAACACACTCACAGCTTCATCGTATTAAGGGCTGGCCTACGGGGTGTGCGAGCTGTACAGGGGTGCCAGGTGGCTGACGCAGCTCGCTATGTAGCAGTACAGGCAGAAAAGGAAAGGAAAAGAAAGTGGGTAAATACCCTACAAGCCAGTGGGTACAACACCCCACGTCAAGGACGCATGCTAATTGCATGCTAACACACACGCACTAATGAGCACGCCCAGCCATAGCCAAAAGGCCTGAACTGCCATGCGCGTAACATGTGGCAGACCAACAGAACGGGGCATGGACCTTGGCTGCGCATACACAGATCCTGGTAGTACTGTAACATGTACAAAATGAACTGTTGGCGCTATATAAATCATGTATAATAATAGTAATAATAATAATTAAGCATGCCAGAGTTCATAATGTATAACACAACATACAGAATGTAGCAGTGTACAGAAGTTAGCAGTCTTAGCCTGTTGACGACCGCCCGTCGCAATGGACCGGTCGGGTGGCTGACAACTCCCAGCGAATTCACATACACGTTATTTTTTTTTCTTGTTCGCACGCACAAGCAAGTTTAAAACACACTAACGGTGTAGTTTTACAGTGACAGCGACCAGCACAAATTTGGCCACAGTGCCAGTTTGCCAGTCCAGTCAGAGTTCTGATTGCCATCAGTGCCAGCCTGTCTGTCAGAATCCCGATTGTCATCAGTACCAGCCTGTCCATCCGTCAGAGTCCTGATGTCCATCAGTGCTAGCCTGTCAGTTCGTAAGAGTCCTGATTGTCATCAGTGTCAGCCTGTTGGTCCGTGAAAATCCTGATTGCCATTAATTCCAGCCCGTCAGAGTCCCGACCGCCATTAGTGCAAGCCTCTCAGTCCATCAGAGTCCTGATTGCCAGCAGTGTCAGCCTGTCAGTCCGTCAGAAACCTGATTGCCAGCAGTGCTATCCTGTCAGCCAGTCAGAATCCTTATTGCCATCAGTGCCAGCCCCAATCACAGTTTTTATTGCCTGCAGTGCCAGCCCCCAGTCTGGTCAGAGTTCTGATTGACAGTGCCAGAAGTACAAGAAAAGTACAGACACTACTAAAGATGTGCAGGGGTCGGTGGTGTGACCAGGGTTGTAAGGGTCTCACCATGGCTGTGTGGTCCTCATTAGGGCTAGGTGTGGGTCTTACCAAGGCTGTGCGGTCTCACCGGGGCTGCGTGTGGGTCTCACCATGGCTGCGTGCCGGTCTCAGCATGGCTGCATGCGGTCTCACTAGGGCTTTGTGCAGGTCTCACCAGGGCTGCACGCTTGGCTCGCCATGGATGCGTGCGGGTCTCATCACGGCTGTCCGCATGGGTGCAGGTCTCCCCAGTACTGTGTGGGCAGCTGGGTCTCACCATGGTTGTGCGGGTGGTGGGAAGGAGGAGGAGCCTTGTGGTAGAGGTGCATCCATATTTACAGCAATGCAGAATTGCATAGGCTATAGAGGACTACATATCCCAGCAATACTTTAAACAGCAATAGCATTGCTGTATAAAGTACTGCTGGGATTTGTAGTCCTCTATAGCCGGTGCCATTCTGCATTGCAGAATGGCACCGGCTATAGTGGACTACAAATACTTTATACAGGGGCCCCAGGCTGCCTGCAGCACTGCTCTGCTTATATGCGGCAGTGTTTTTGTTCCCTTGGCAGTCCAGCTCCCTCCTCAGTATCTGACAGGCTCCCCCTCTGAGTGCAAGGAGTAGGCCGTCGGGCCCCCTATCTCTGGGCCCCCCATCTCTGTGCACATGCGTAATCTATGTACAGCACCTGGGCATGCACAGAAAGAGAGACCTGGCTGGGAGCATGCACATCAGGGTGGTTCCAGGGAGATCTGCAAGCCAATGGAGCCACGTAAAAGATAATGGGTAACACGCCACTTTAAAATGTGAAAAAAAGCTACAATGAGAGGCTAAACGCAAGAAGGGGACTGGAAACATGAATCAACTTAAAGTATGCTGCTACATTTTTTTTTTCTTCAGGGAGAGTTTAACCTTTTCGATGCCACTGACTTAGGACATATGCAATGGCAGCCAGGAGTGTGTGCTGACCCTTCTTCAGCCAACTGTTGGCTTCCTGCTGGAAGTGATTTCAGCCACCCGATCACTTACGCACACAGACTGAGAGGTGCCCCCCTTGCTTGCCAAGGCGGGCGTGTCTCAGCAGGTAGAGCAGAGGGAGATCCCTTCAGGTGAATGAATTCAGAAGCGACAAGCATTTAGTCACTTCCGGTTTCATAGCTGTCATTCCCTGGCATCTGTGGTTGGGATGAAGCTAATCAAGCACAATCTACTGTAGTGTAGCTCAAGGGAGACATGTGGTTGCAACTGGCAACAGTTATTGTACAGGGAAATCCCTGGTGATCAGCAGGGTCACCAGAACTAGTGTCCCCAAATCAAAGATTTCCCTTCTGTGTTGGCTATGCATACACATGTTGGCGATGCACTCAGGATGTCGGTACACTCCTTCATGTTGGTGGTCATGCCCACTTATCTCATCCTTTTGGACGGAGGTACATGCTCTCATTAGAACCATAACTGGTATTTTGTTAGAGTTCTCCCCAGCCTCCCTCTTATTATATCATTTTGATGAAGCCCACCACATCTCCAAAAAATCTCTCCCACTACATCTGGTGAACGCAGTGAAAACAGTAATCCCTAGACATTGGAAGTCATCCATTCACTGGCCGTCCGAGAGTGGCTAGCTCGAGTGGATGCGGTGTCGACCATGGAGGAACTAATCTTTTCCTGTAAAAACTTGGATGGCAAGGCACCTGTTCAAGGACACAGATGCACATGTTGCTTTTACTCAGTAACTGCTTACTTTACTACTTTTTTCTGCCCTTCCCCCTTTTCTCTTAAAATGGGAAACCCAGACGGGATTCTCTCCTTTCTCTTGCCTCTTCTACTTGTGCTTCCCTCACCCTCCTCTCTCCTCTTTCTCTCTCCCTTCCCTTTTGCACTACCAACTACCTCTTCCTCCTTTACCTTGCCCCTTCCCCGGTCTTATCCTTCTTCTCATTCTACACTTCCCCACCCTCCCTTCAGGTTAAACCTTCCTATACCCCTGCTAGGTTCTGCGATAGTTATCGCTCTTCAGCCAGTGCCCTTCCCATTCCCCACCTATACGTGCAGGTGTTATAACAACTTTATAGCATTACTGAAGCTTGATTGCTCTTCGTGCTACCTATCTACTTCATGCGGTGAATACCGTGCACTGTTTTATTTGGCGTTTGTATTAGGGTTGCCACCCGTCCAGGCCGGTTTTGGTGTGTTGTGTATGGGTGCCCAGACGCTTAGTGCCGACACTGGCACTTACATTTTCTGACAGGTGCTGCTGCCGAGTGTGATCTCAAGCAGCCGCATCTGCCTGAAACCTGGGTCTTCCTCTGAGCGGGGGGCAGGTTTCAGGGAGGTGCGGCTGCTCGAGATCGCGTTTGACAAGGACCTCGGCAGCCGCACATGTGATCGCTCCTCCTCTCTTCTATCTCTGGTGATCTATCACATAGAGAAGAACTAGGAGACACTCTAGATCACCAGAGTTAGAAGAGCGGCCGGGCTATAGATCCCAGTGCATCTGAAGGGAAGGCATGAAGAGGCGGGGACACAGAAAATAGATGAGCGGCAGGGGGAACGAAGATTTACAGGAGAAGGCTCCCTGACACTGTGTTGCCTGCCTGCGGACCACCTGGTGAGACACCATAGCTTAGACAGCACTGAGAGTCGCACAGTCCACCCGAGAGTCGCACAGCCCAGCGTCACTGTCACACAGCCCACCCGAGTGTCGCACAGCCCACCCAAAGCTCGCAAAGCCCACCCGAGAGTCGCACAGCCACCTGAAGACATTCGCATGGCGCTAGAGTGTTCGGGTTTCACTTGAAGAAAAGGTGGCAACCCTAGTTTGGATGCATTGTCATTTTACACGTTATGGCTGCTTCCCTAAACACCCCTCCACCCCCCTCATGAATTGTTTTGTACCTACAGTGGTTGTTTATTTGAACTTGCCAAATGTTTGTATACTTGCTTTTGTTTTCTTTCAAACAATAAAAATTGACTTGTGAAACAAACAAAAAAACTAAACAAAAAAAAAGATTTCCCTTCTATTCCTGTTCTGATGACAACCCAAAATTTGGGATTTTCTTTCACTTTCAGTCATAGTGCTCTCCAGGACAAATAAAGAGGGTGAATCTACCGAACGGGGACAAAGAAAGTAATAAAAACCTGACTAGTGTTCTAATCCCTCATCACTATTCAAAACGAAAAAAAGTTTTGCCTTCAGTTGCATTTTAACACGTGTTCAAAAAAATTGCAAAAAAGATCTTGCAACAAAAGGGTTAATAACACTTTAAATTTCCCTGTCACAGATACATGCACAGCCACCAAGCGTATCAGTTTGTTTTATTTCAGAAGTCATATAATGTTACATAAACACATACAATGATTTTAGCACAACTGTGTTGAAGACAGAGGCCACCTAAGCAGTTTCAGTGATAACTAAATCAATAATATTTTCTTACACAGAGCACATAGACAGAGAAGTGTGACAATGGGACAGGTACTGTACAAGGTGCACTCCTTCCTCCCTCCTTCCTTCACTCCCTCCCACTATTTGGGCAGTAACTTTTCGTCACATGATTCATCATATTCAAGGTGTCCATGTGAACCAGGAAGACAGGTGTATGCGTACAGCCTGCAGCTTGTGGACATGTCTATCAGCCGGGGGAACTGGTCTTCTCTCTCCAGGTACTGGGTTAACTATTCACAAGTTACCATAGGCGCATATTTCTCCCTGGGTGCTTGGGATTTCTGCAGTGGAACTTAGTCTGGCAGTTCTGTAAACAAATGATTCAAGAAAGCCCAAATCTGCATCTCACATGCTAGATTCTTGAATAGATTGTCATTTCCCATCAAAAAAGAATCCCTTAGGGTTTTAAAGTACGGTATATACTAGACAAAAAAAAAAATCCAAACTATACAGTGCTTGCTGTCACCAAGACATTCTGCTGTACTGGGAAAAGCCTTCAGTTCTCGGCTTTTTTTTATCCCTGCCTTTCATCCCTGTGACTCTTAAGTATTCTTCTTAACAATGTTTGTCTGTATTTTCACTCCCAAGCCTCATATCCTACCTGATATTCTTGTTTTAGATATGTAGGGATTTGTATCTGTTCTAGAACTATTAACTTGTGTAATGTTTCAACCCTCGGACTATATCCAAGTATCTGAAATCATCTGTCATTTATAAAGCTTGCCGTAGAGTTCTGTGATTCAACCAAAATTCTGACGGTGAGTCACTCTGCCGACTCTGCAAAAGTCAATTAGTTAAAGTAGAACTCTGGGGAACTTTTTTATCAGCCCTTACAGTGGGGCTACTCCCGCACTGCAAGGGTTAAGTGCTCATTTTGATCTAGGTAGGTAAATAACAAATATATACTCACCCAATCCTCAGAGCCAGCTGTGACAGCGATCCCTCCAGCCTGTCTCTTACGCTGCAGGAATGGAATCTTCTTCGGCGTCCTCATATAATATACACTGTGTATAGAACGTGATGGCTCATGGACATTAGGCCACTGCAGCGAGGGGAAGAGAGGCTCCGGGGACCGGTCTAACATCATGCCGTCTCCAAGGATCAGGTGAGTTCCATTTTGTTATTTTCCTCTCTAGACCAAAACGAACACATAACCCTTACACAGTGATGGTAGCCCCATTGCCAGGGTTAAGAAAAAATTTCCCCGGCATTGTCGACTGCATAGCACCGACTCTCAGAATACAATAGCCCAGTGGGGATGGGGGTTGAGGATTCCGACAACATTTAGGGCCAGTTCACACCAGAAAGAGTGCGTTCCAGAGCGTACGGCCTCTGGAACGCAACCTGGTCGGCTCCCTGCGTTCAGGGGCGGGAGGAGAACTGGCGGTGCATTGAAGTCAATGGCCAACTCCAGACTCAGCAGACAAATCTCCGCCTCCTCAGACCACTAAGGAGACACCTCCTGGACAACTTAATCCAGCCAATCAGGTAAGTGACCTCCTCCCTTAACTCCTTCATGACTGAGCTTTTCAGTTTCCGTTCGTTAATGACTGATGCACTTTTGACATTTTTGCTGTGTGATTCTTCCACGTCAATAATATACTTTCTTACTAAGTGCACCCACACATATTATATATATTGTTTTTAGAGGACAGATAAGGCTTTATATATTTAGATCACATATGTGCGCCTAATGCCTCACTTAGTATGGATAACATAAAAAAAAGAAGACCAAAAAACTTAAAGGAAAACACTTTTTGCCCAGCCTTGAATATTATTATTTTTTTTAAACATCACAAAGCTAAAAAAAATGCATTAAAATAAATTAATGTAATTGTCCTTTATTTAGAAACAGCTCACATCCCTAGGATTTCCAATTTTGTTTCTGTACTTCTTGGCCTAAAACTGAAAGCTAACATTTTGTTTTTTTTCTCTAAAAACTAATAGTGGTTAGGTGGCCTACAATGTCACTGTCATTAAGTGTCTCACTAAGGGACAGCGACATACTTTGAACAACGCCATCATGAGGGGGGTTTAAATAAAAAAAATTAACCCTTCAGGGTGAAAAACAAATCTGCAGCTAGGGCGGCGTTCGGCCGCATAGTCCCATAGAGAAGGACAGGGGCTGCATACCAATCACATGCAGCACCTGTCCTTCCCAGGAGCTGCCCGATATGGGCGTGCACGCAGCACAGAGCTGTACGTGCCGGCCGTTTCTCGTGTGAATGAGGGCTAAACCTGAAACAACACAGATCAATTGAGATGATTATTAAGCTACTGTGAGCCAAATTAGCAGCAGCAACTGTCCAAACAAGCTATCTCTGCATTGGAAGAGGATAGGCTACTATAACATTTGAAGTTCTGTTGTCCTTCTTAAAGTGGGTCTTTACCCACTAAAAATCACATCAGCACGGAGCCCTGCATGCTGATTTAAAATGTTCTTATATTCATTAAAACAAACTTGTTTTTAATTTACTTACAAATAGAGTTAATCTACTTTCTGGTCCACATCTGGCACAAATGATGTAATGTGCCAAAGAGGTGCATCTTGGGAAGGTTACATCACAAGATCTCAGGGAAAGGCATTTTCCTACCCTGAGATGATGTGCATGCTCACATGTGCTAGCCACATGTGCCAGAGTTCCAGGAAGTAAAGTTAAAGCTAGTAACCTGCCCTTAGTTATCATGGCCACTGTCAGAAGACTGGGAAAGAAAAGAGAAATAAGATATGCAAAGAATACAAAGCCGGCAACTATCTAGAAGTTGTGTTTGTAGATTGTCATTACTAAACATGTCTAAATGTGTGTTTTTGTTGTTATTTTAAAGATATAGGTAAAGTTCCTCTTTAAGAAAGCAATTGATTGCAACCAGTTAAGAAATAATAACCAGTTAAGAAAACTTATTTTGAAGGAACTGTACCACTAAGAATATGACCTATGAACTTTCATGACTCAGTTTCTGATTGGTATCTTATGAAGGCAACACGCCAAAGCTAAATGTGACCAGTGTTTTCTATGCACTTTGGTATAGTGAAGTGTGTGGCAATCTTTCAATAGTAATACAAGCTTGACTGCAACGACCACAAATCTCAATTTGGCCTCATTTACATGTGTTGATATGAAAGTATACGATTAAGGCTGATATATGTATATGATCAACAAAGACATCAGAAAAAATGCTTTTCTTTAGTCAAGTAGGGGAAAGCTAAAATTCCTGTGATATTTTTGCCTGTGTCCCTGTTTCAGATTTTTCCCTAATTTCCTGTCTGGCAAAACGGTCATCACCGGGACAGAAAGCATTTTCAAATCTCTGAAAATGGAGCCCAAATATATTAGTGAAAACCTGGCGGGGGTTCAAACCTTTCCCGCTTTATCCAAAACTATTGCATTAACATGCGTTTCACGCATAGATGACATACTAAGTGAAATTGTTCAGTTGTTCAGTTATTTCACACAAATTCTAAAGATACAGAAACAAAAAACTCCTGCAATTATAGATTATAACTGATACCACTTTTGAAAAAACATGGCATAAGACTGTCATGTTGTGGAGTAAAAGAGTGCATAGATGGCCATACAGGCACAGGTTTTTTTTTTTCTATCAGCCTGTGAGCTGAAAGAAATGTAACAGGTTCCTCCAGCCACACTAAACAGTGTGGATGGATGAATCTCTTCACTAGACTATTGTATTGTGACAGCTAGCAGCTGCTGCTGACAGAATACCTGAACAGTAGACATGTGCGATTCGTTTCGGAAAGATTTGTTATTCGGACAAATTTATGGAAATTTGTACATGTAGATGCATACGAATTTCTGAATGACAGAAATAATGAATGCAAATTTCCGATAACGAAAGTTTCAGATTCATCCGAATTTCTTTCTTGAATGAAGTTTTATTGTGTTAAGCATAAACTTTAAAAAAAAAAATCAGAATTTCCATTATGAACGAATATTTGTTGCAACAAAGTGACATTAGACAAAGGAAAAAAAACATAGTCCGCATAAGAGAGAAAAAAAAAAAAGCGTGAGGTTCCCTGCTAATTGACACCAGACCCTTTAGGTCTGGTAGGAATGTTAGGAGGGACCCCCCCCACCAAGTTACAAATATAAAAAAAAAAGTGTGTGGGGTTCCCCCCAAAAAGTCATACCAGGCCCTTTAGGTCTGGCAGGAATTTGAAGGGGGAGCCCCATCCCCTAAAGATGGGGAAAAAAGTGGGGTCCCCCCTAAAATTCCTACCAGACCCTTGATCCGAGAACAGGTCTGTGCCATACCAGGCGACGTGCCCTCGGGATTGGGAGGGTGTCCCCATGCCGATGGGGACAAGGGCCTCTTCCTCACAGCCCTGACCCGGTGGTTGTGGGGGTCTGCGGGCAAGGGGGCTTATTTGCATCGGGTACCCCTTTAATAAAGGGGGCACCCAGATGCTGCCGTACCCCACTTTTGATTGAGTAAGGGGTACTTGTTTAGTGTAGATGGAGGAATCTGTTGCACTTTTTCCATCTCCCACTGGGCCAAGCTTCAAGATACTGAAGTGGGAGTATTCCTTTAGCGTAGATGGAGGAATCTGTTGCACTTTTTCCATTTGCCCATAGAAAATCTGCACATAATCTATAGGTGTATGGCCAGCTTTAGACAGTTGTCATTAGAACAGGTACCCCCATTTTAAGATTCCCCTTCATTCCTGCCATAGTGACAATCTCACATTTGGTATTTTCCCTTACTTCTGGTCCCAGTTTCAATGGCCACCAGGACAAATAGAAAGGGTAAATCTCTCTAAAAGGGACTCAGATATTAATAAAAACCTAACAGGGAATCAAACCTTTCCGCACTCCATCCTGAACTACAAAAACATGTTTAGGCATTAGATATACTTTGAAGTAAATGTTTAGTTTGCTAATGTGCTGTGTATCATACATAATTGCCGTGGTTTATTTTCTTACTAATACGTTTATCAACTGTTTGTTTATCCTTTGTGCATCTCAGTGATGCTGATCTCCTCCATCCTCATCCAGCCACTTCCTGTCTGCATACAATCATAATAACATTAGCTGCCCATCATTGCTCATCTCCATCAACACGATAGGGAAAGCAGTGGGCCATGCCTGTGCAATGTGTGTTTGCATGACCGCTTATATGGTGGCGAACCTTGGCACTCCAGCTGTTTTGGAACTACAAGTCCCATGAGGCATTGCAAGGCTCTGACAGCCACAGACAAAAC